ATTGCCATTATTATTCCTATTATCCGCATTTTATTACCACTCTATTACTGTTTATTAATAACATTGCTTCTTCATACAGATTTTATATAAAAACATTATCGCCTTTCCACTAGTTCTTGTCCATCCTGCACGAGCTTTTTGATTAGTCATTATCTCACACTTATTAAGTCATGCCTACCTCTGTCTCCTTTGGAACTTACAATTAGTCTTCTTACACCTTACATTATGCAATACAATTTTTCAAGGACAAAGTTTACCAGTATCTGACTGGTCTAAAGATTTCTTTGTTTAATACAATTACGATTGTACAGCTCATGAAAATGAATCGTCGAAGAGAAAATTTTCTTTGCTGTTTGTGCCTTTCCCTTATGACTCAATATGGGAATATTTCGTTCAATCTTTCATCTCCTTCTCGTACGATCTTCTCCATATGACCCTCGGACGACCCACTAGCCGTTTCCCATTTGGATTCTATTCCAGCGATGGCCTGAATTGAGCACGATGTCATTCAACGGTGTCCTCAGAGTGTGTCCGATCCATCTCCATTTTCTCACACATATTTTTTGAACGATAGGTTGTTCTTGGTTAGTTTACTCCCATAGTTTCTTGTTGTTAATTCTTCAACACAGAGCCAACGAAGACAGCTGTTGATAAAAGTCTGCAACAGGCTGTTGGAAATGCTTTCCGTGACGCACTGACCGAGTTTCTGACAAACATGAAAGAGAAACCTCCGTCGTCAAACAATGCGACGGTTCCTAAGAAAACTCTCTTCAAATGTGACATCGCAGCGGAAATTCTCAGAAACCGCTTTTCTAAATGTCTGAAGAAGGCATTTCCAAAAGCCACCTTACGTATCACATTCTCTAGCAGACATTCAATCCAGTCTAACGTTAAGGATAAGATACCGCTTTTGGCCACTTCAATGTGTATTCATCAATTCACTTCCTAGTGTGGAGCAAAGTATATCGGCCTTATGCAACGTCAAGTCCACAAACGTATTCTGGAACACTGTCCAGCTTGGTTAGCCAACCAGAGGAGAAAAGAAGAATAGCAGCAGCAGCTCTATCCTCGAACACCTTGTCACCTCCGAACATCGGCCAACCCCGCATGAATGCTTCACAGTGCTACACACAGTCCCTCAATATCGTACAAAGGGACTTCGCATTCGCCATCTGTACATAGCTGAAGCATTAGCTATTCGAGATCTGAAACCGGACATCTGCATTCAAAAGCGATACATACATTCTCTCGCCCTACCATGGCCAATTTTGCTTCCTTCGTTTATTCTGTAAGTTCACTATTATTATTATTGTTAATACTTTTATTGCCATTATTATTCCTATTATCCGCATTTTATTACCACTCTATTACTGTTTATTAATAACATTGCTTCTTCATACAGATTTTATATAAAAACATTATCGCCTTTCCACTAGTTCTTGTCCATCCTGCACGAGCTTTTTGATTAGTCATTATCTCACACTTATTAAGTCATGCCTACCTCTGTCTCCTTTGGAACTTACAATTAGTCTTCTTACACCTTACATTATGCAATACAATTTTTCAAGGACAAAGTTTACCAGTATCTGACTGGTCTAAAGATTTCTTTGTTTAATACAATTACGATTGTACAGCTCATGAAAATGAATCGTCGAAGAGAAAATTTTCTTTGCTGTTTGTGCCTTTCCCTTATGACTCAATATGGGAATATTTCGTTCAATCTTTCATCTCCTTCTCGTACGATCTTCTCCATATGACCCTCGGACGACCCACTAGCCGTTTCCCATTTGGATTCTATTCCAGCGATGGCCTGAATTGAGCACGATGTCATTCAACGGTGTCCTCAGAGTGTGTCCGATCCATCTCCATTTTCTCACACATATTTTTTGAACGATAGGTTGTTCTTGGTTAGTTTACTCCCATAGTTTCTTGTTGTTAATTCTTCAACACAGAGCCAACGAAGACAGCTGTTGATAAAAGTCTGCAACAGGCTGTTGGAAATGCTTTCCGTGACGCACTGACCGAGTTTCTGACAAACATGAAAGAGAAACCTCCGTCGTCAAACAATGCGACGGTTCCTAAGAAAACTCTCTTCAAATGTGACATCGCAGCGGAAATTCTCAGAAACCGCTTTTCTAAATGTCTGAAGAAGGCATTTCCAAAAGCCACCTTACGTATCACATTCTCTAGCAGACATTCAATCCAGTCTAACGTTAAGGATAAGATACCGCTTTTGGCCACTTCAATGTGTATTCATCAATTCACTTCCTAGTGTGGAGCAAAGTATATCGGCCTTATGCAACGTCAAGTCCACAAACGTATTCTGGAACACTGTCCAGCTTGGTTAGCCAACCAGAGGAGAAAAGAAGAATAGCAGCAGCAGCTCTATCCTCGAACACCTTGTCACCTCCGAACATCGGCCAACCCCGCATGAATGCTTCACAGTGCTACACACAGTCCCTCAATATCGTACAAAGGGACTTCGCATTCGCCATCTGTACATAGCTGAAGCATTAGCTATTCGAGATCTGAAACCGGACATCTGCATTCAAAAGCGATACATACATTCTCTCGCCCTACCATGGCCAATTTTGCTTCCTTCGTTTATTCTGTAAGTTCACTATTATTATTATTGTTAATACTTTTATTGCCATTATTATTCCTATTATCCGCATTTTATTACCACTCTATTACTGTTTATTAATAACATTGCTTCTTCATACAGATTTTATATAAAAACATTATCGCCTTTCCACTAGTTCTTGTCCATCCTGCACGAGCTTTTTGATTAGTCATTATCTCACACTTATTAAGTCATGCCTACCTCTGTCTCCTTTGGAACTTACAATTAGTCTTCTTACACCTTACATTATGCAATACAATTTTTCAAGGACAAAGTTTACCAGTATCTGACTGGTCTAAAGATTTCTTTGTTTAATACAATTACGATTGTACAGCTCATGAAAATGAATCGTCGAAGAGAAAATTTTCTTTGCTGTTTGTGCCTTTCCCTTATGACTCAATATGGGAATATTTCGTTCAATCTTTCATCTCCTTCTCGTACGATCTTCTCCATATGACCCTCGGACGACCCACTAGCCGTTTCCCATTTGGATTCTATTCCAGCGATGGCCTGAATTGAGCACGATGTCATTCAACGGTGTCCTCAGAGTGTGTCCGATCCATCTCCATTTTCTCACACATATTTTTTGAACGATAGGTTGTTCTTGGTTAGTTTACTCCCATAGTTTCTTGTTGTTAATTCTTCAACACAGAGCCAACGAAGACAGCTGTTGATAAAAGTCTGCAACAGGCTGTTGGAAATGCTTTCCGTGACGCACTGACCGAGTTTCTGACAAACATGAAAGAGAAACCTCCGTCGTCAAACAATGCGACGGTTCCTAAGAAAACTCTCTTCAAATGTGACATCGCAGCGGAAATTCTCAGAAACCGCTTTTCTAAATGTCTGAAGAAGGCATTTCCAAAAGCCACCTTACGTATCACATTCTCTAGCAGACATTCAATCCAGTCTAACGTTAAGGATAAGATACCGCTTTTGGCCACTTCAATGTGTATTCATCAATTCACTTCCTAGTGTGGAGCAAAGTATATCGGCCTTATGCAACGTCAAGTCCACAAACGTATTCTGGAACACTGTCCAGCTTGGTTAGCCAACCAGAGGAGAAAAGAAGAATAGCAGCAGCAGCTCTATCCTCGAACACCTTGTCACCTCCGAACATCGGCCAACCCCGCATGAATGCTTCACAGTGTTACACACAGTCCCTCATTATGGTACAAAGGGACTTCGCATCGGTCGGTCGGTCGGTCGGTTTTCGACATAGAACTTTGCACATATGTGCACCAGTTCAAGTCGCCACACTCCATGTAGCAAACAAAGCAAGAGAAGAAAGTAAAAGAAATCCATAATATAGTCAGTAAACAGAGGTGTGAGACAAAGGAGTGGTAATAACGGAGAACAAAACAGTTTAATTGGAAATCATAAGTCACAAGGAGTGGATGCATCTGCGCCAGCCATTGAGAACGATTTTGAGCCATGTCACCAATTGTTTCCAGCCATTGGTTTTTACCGTCCCAAGGACAACAACCAGTCAGTCAGGAAGTCTACACCTTCCTATGTGGCTTAGACTAACTGTTGTAGATTTCATTGACTAATGCCATGTTTTGGTTTGACCGCCGCTAGCTCTTTTCAAGTCTGACCCTATATCAGCTAACATTGTCCGTCGAGGAAGGCGATGACTAGGCATACGTAACACATGTCCTAACCATCTCAGTCGATGTAATTTCACAGTCTCGTCGACTGATTTCCCCTCCTTACCTAGCACTCGACGCCTAACCTCAATATTGTTCACCTTATTATACCACTTCACGCGGGAGATAGAACGCAGACACCTATGATCGAAGACAGCTGATCTTTTCATGTCTTATGCTCTCAATGGAACTTCGCATTCACAATCTGTACATAGCTGAAGCACTAGCTATTCGAGATCTGAAAGCGGACCTCTGCATTCAAAAGCGATACAATTAGGAATATTGTCGTGCGCAAGAGTATCGAAAGCAGTCTTGTCTTACTTCTGCCTTCACTCCAAAGACTTCACTGAGTTATCCTCTTTGTGGATCCTCAACTATACTCTCTGCCAGTGCTCAAATTCTACTATTCCTATACCAGGGACACCCAACCCTCTCTCTCGTCCCCACAGCAGCGAATCGTAGTTTAAGAGGTCAAACAGAGAACACACAGGAGAATTCATAAAAACACATATTTCATTAGTAAAAACAAAATAACTACACAGTCATCGAAATAATTTATATGTACACTGATATATATATATATATATATATATATATACTGACAACTGTTCATTCGGTTGGTTAGTTAATTAGTACATGGTTAGTTGGGGGGGGGAGGGAAGAGGTGATTGGGTGAGTGGGAAAACAACCTAAAACCAAAAAATACATACTCATAGTAACTATGCCACTAGTAAAATTGAAGGCATCATTATCCTGTCCATCAATTTGCATCACCTTCCAACTCAACACGTTTCTTCTCCCATAACAGTTCAGCTAATTTATGCTGTTCTTTCACTAAAGCACGTAAATACTCACGAGCAATGAAAAGATTATCTTCACTTATCTCTTCTTTGACTTGTTTAGTATTCAATAGTTTACTGTGTGTTTGATGAACTTTGTCCATTTCACGGATTGTGTGTTGTAACAATTCACGTCCTATTCATCAATAAGAGAAGACGTTCAATTCACAGTAAATAGTAATAACAATATTAATAATAATAATAAAAACAATAATAGTAATAATAATAACATATGTTATATAGACAAAGCAATAAGAAGACGTAATTTATCTATCTGAATCATGTGTGTCATGTAATTGTGCAACACACACAGGGACTTGTCATAGGAATCAATGTATATGACGTGAGAAAATGAGCTACTTAGGTCAATTCCCATATTAGTTTGTTTATTAGATGTATCACACAGTGAAACAGTATTATTTACTGGATGATGTTTCGAACAAAATTTATTGTTCATAATCATATCAATTATAATCACACGACTTTGACACTTGAGTTTTATAGTTTTCTTTGTCTTCTCCTAATTGTCGTCGTTGGGGTAGTAGAGTTTTCCAGATATCCGACTGGACAGGTGATGTTGAATCATTCCTATTACATGTATTCCCTACCAGTTGATTCGATAAACAAAGCTTCTGTTGTCAATCTCTCCCTCTATTCGCCCTGTTACATTGGATTTTAAAACTGTTGTCCTATCCCATCCTATTGTATGGTTGTGTGTAACTGCATGTAGTGCTATTTACGGCTGAACTTTTCTCTAGATTTCTTATCTTATTTGGATCAACCAATAAATACGACTGTACAGCTTGAAAATGAAGTCGTTGAAAAGAAATTTCTTCGCTGAACAAAAACTGTGTTTTTACTTATGAATATATCTGTTAAACAAACTAATATGGAATTACTTACTACCACAGTGTCCAAGTTTTACACATATATTAATAAGACTTAGGTCAAGTTACAAGACCACACTGAAGGTCAAAATAACAATGAAGATCACTAAACCAAATAACAGGGGTAATAATAGTACATCTACCCTGACTGGTATCAAAACAAAGTTTACCACGATCGGTGGTTCAGTGTGATGATGAATTGTTGGTTTGAATGCAAAAAAGTGGGTTTAAACTTTCTAATAGCTGGGGCCAACTGGCCCCATCCTACTTTCGCCCTACTCTTTAGAAGTAATCATCCATGACTTCACCGAGCGATCAAACCTAGGAAGGACTGTCAGGTCACGAAATAAGCCCACTTATCAACCATCCGCATCGTGTGCGTCGGTGGCACAGTGGTTAGGACTCCCGCAGACCATGCACATGGTCAGGGGTTCGATCCCCTGCCGGCGCACACCCGATATCTATGGTCGGCCTGTAAATTTGGGCTGCTGATATCCATGCTGAAAATTCCATACTTGTACTGAAAATACGGTGTGGAATCAAGCTGTAATCAAAATAAAAATTAAAAAAATCTGGGACAGGTGGAATCTTATGAGTCCGTAAATTCTAATTTCTGTAAATTCACCGTATGTAGTGCAAGCGCATCCACGGCCAATGTCATTGGGACATTTTTTCCTATTAGAATCCCAGGCAACTTTATCCTGTCAGCCAGTCATTAGTGAGCAATGGGAAATAATTTTTCTGGACACGATGTCAGTTAGTGATATTATTATTATTGTTCCCTTGGGTTCCTAGTGGAACAAAGGGCTTCAACTGCACGTCTCCACTTGTTTCTGTCTTCTGCTGTCCTTTTCACTTGCATCCATGTTAGTCTATACTGTTTCAGCTCCTCTTCACACGATCTTCATGTCTCCCACTCTCAATGGTCAGGCCCCACAGCCAGCCATAAAGGAGGACGGAGCGAACTGCTAAGCACTACACACGCCATTTGGTCGATAGCCGGATATCACATGTAAATAGATACTCCAAAAGAAAAATTTCTGAAAGTATAAAATGTCAACTACACAAACACACAGGCACACACACACTAACCTTGACTGAGTGCTTTTTGACGAGATTCTTGGGTGATAACAGTATTCAGTCGGATTGTAAAAGCATGCTGACCAGCTGATTGAAGTTTACTTTCTCCAGAACCATCTTTACCTGGATCCAAAAATGCAATCACTGCTTTACGTGCAGCTGACAAGAGATTTGGTCGACCGGTAAGATCAACTAGAAGAAATTGATCACCTAAGCTAGCTCTATGCTGTGCACTAGTTGAAGAGGCATTTTGATGTGAAGCATTCTGTAGGAGTAGATTAGCTACTTGACCAAGTTTAACATTTTCTTCGGGAATCTATATAATGGAAAATGTGTATAATATATAAAGTGAAGACAACGTGTTACTTTAGTGTAAAGAGACTACAGAAAACGGTACACTTGTCCGTCTGATAACTGTCAGTGGGAACAATTCAACGACGCACTCACTCTTGAATGGAAGTATCCTTAACTGAACGTAACGACTTAGGAATCGACTTGTTACCAGGGAATAGTCTTATAGACTTAGAATACGCAGACGACATAGTCCTGTTAGGGGAGGACGCTGACAAAATGCAGAGTCTTCTGAACACCTTGAGCAGCAATCTTCGTATGTTTGGCATGCGATTCGCCCCTGTGAAATGTAAGATGCTGCTACAGGACTGGACTACGTCAACTCCTAGCTTAGTGATAGGGAGTGAAGTGAGAGAACATGTTGACCACTTCACCTATTTGGGAAGTTGTATCAGCACCAACGGATTGATTGGTGACGAAATCACAGCGCGGATCCAGAAAGCTCGGGCTGCTTTCGCTAACTTACACCGTCTCTGGCGTAGGCGTGACATCCGGCTGTCAACCAAGGGACGTGTATACTGCTCAGCAGTTCGTTCCGTCCTTCTCTATGGCGGTGAGACGTGGCCATTGAGAGCGGAAGACATGAAGAGATTGTCTGTTTTTGACCACAGATGTTTACGATCTCTTTCTCGCGTTAGGTGGTATAATAAGGTAAGTAATGTTGACGTTAGGCGTAGAGTGTTGGGCAAAGAGGGAAAATCACTCGAGGAGGCTATGAAGTTACATAGATTGAGATGGCTAGGTCACGCGCTGCGCATGCCTAACCATCGTCTCCCCCGACGGGCATTACTAGCTGATAGAGGTGCAGGTTGGAAAAGAGTAAGTGGTGGCCAAACAAAAACATGGCCTCATCAATCCATGAAATCCCTGACAGTTAAACTGAGTCAGGTGGGGAGATGCAGACTTCCGGTTTGGGGCCCTCTGGACTCTAAGAATCAATGGCTGGAGACAATAGGTGACATGGCTCAAAATCGTTGTCAATGGCTTACGCAGATGTATTCAGTCTCTTTAAACTTCATATTCCTTTCTACCATTACTCATTTTGTTTCACTCTTATACTTATCTAAATTCTATTGATTCTCTTCTCTCATTTTCTTGTCTACCTTTGTGTGCTATTTGGAACGTGGCAACTCGAACTGCTGCACTTCGGTGCCAAGTTCTATGTTGAATCCAGCAGCAGCAGCACTCTTGAAGGTGAGCCGCTTGGAGCTGTCGATAAGTTGTGAATCTGGATAGTTTCATGAGTGCTCGAAGAGGTGTGACGGACGATATTTATAAGCGTATCATGAAAGCTAGGGTGGTATACATCAATTTGAGTCACCTCTGGCGCTGTCACGACGTTAACCTGCCCGTCAAAAGTCGGGTTTACAATGCTTCCATACGTACAGTCTTGCTCTACGCCTGTGAGACCTAGCCTTTCCTCTGTGAGGATGTGCGATGACTCTGTGTATTCGACTATCGCTGCCCCTGTAAAACTGCTTGCGTTCCATGGTATCATCGTGTGAGTAATTCTGATGTCCTGCGGCGTGTTTGGATACAGTGAAGATCAACCCTCATTGAGTGTCATCATCTGTAAACACCGGCTTCGGTGGCTGTTTGACCATGTTCTACGAATGTCATCCCAGAGGCTTCCATACCGAACTCTGTTAGTTAGCCCTGGGACGGGATGGAATGAGCGGAGGTGGTTAGCAGTAAGACGTTCCCCTCAGATGGCCAATAAGTCAGCTAAGCTGACTCACCGATCTAGTGAAGAGACAGGATTAAAAGAGGTCGACCAAGAAAAATATATGTCCTGACTTACCTTGCAGTGGTTAGTAGCCAAAAGTAAAGCCTTAATACGGACACACTTTCAGGAACTAACTCAAACAGACATGAAGTAATTGTCCCATGGGTTCTAATGTCAAACATCACTAACGTTCTTTGTGTTTCCAGTACCTTGAAGAAGCAATAAACTCCCATAGTGTAACCAACTGAGAATTAACGACTGCTCACATGTACCAGGTTATGAACGACACATCACTAGTTCGCCAGACTGAAATAAGAAGACGGGGACTCCAACCAAGGAGTAGTTGCTTCGAAATCCGAATGTTTAAAGTCAATGGGCCACATTATCACAATGTACCGTTAAACTAAACGGCTCATCATAACTTGATTTTAAGATTTCTGGACATTTATGCCAATTCCCACCTTGTTATTCTTACTGGCAATCATACACATGTTTATCCTTTGTAAAATTTATGCATATCTATTCCCTTCTTTGCTGTGAATTGTTAGAAAGTATACGAAATTGGAGTGTGCAAGAATCCACTTTGATCTAACAGTCTAACACCAATGATACTTGCAATCACTTGCAGTAAGCTGCTCAGCAGTCCGCTGCGTCCTCCTTTGTGTCTGTGAGTAAGATGTAGCCATTGAGAGTGGAAGACACGAAAAGCCTGGCTAGATGTCTTTGATCATAGGTGTCTGTGTTCTATCTCCCGTGTTAGGTGGTGGTATAATATGGTGAGCAATATTGAGGTTAGGCGTCAGTCGAGTGCTAGATAAGGAGGGTAAATCAATAGACGACGTTGTGAAGTTACATCGACTGAGATGGTTAGGACATGTGTTACGTATGCTGTTAAACCCAGTCATCACCTTCATCGCTAGTGGGCGATGTTAGCTGACATAGGATCAGGTTGGAAAAGAGTTAGTTAGTGGTGGTCAAACCAAAACATGGCTTCATCAGTAAGTGAAATCCACGACAGTTAGTTTAAGCCAACCAGCCACGTAGGAACATGTAGACTTCGTGGTTTGGGTCATCGAGACGTTAAGTACCAATGACGACTGGAGACAATTGGTGATATGGCTCAAAATTGTCGTTGCCAATGGCTGGATCGGATGCGTCCACTACTTGTGACTTAAAATATCTAATAAAACTATATTGTTCTTCGTTATTGCTATTCCTCTTGTCTCATATCCCTGTGTACTGTCTCTATTTGGCATTTCTTCTACTTTCTTCTCTTGCTTTGTGTGCTAAGTGAAGTGAGTGTGGCGACTTGAACTGGTGCACATCGGTGCAAAGTTCTTTGTTGAAAACAAGCAGACAGACATATACATATAACCACCTTAGTTATTCTTATCGTCAAGTGCGTTAACCTTATTATCATTATTTTGTTATTATTATAATTATCGTTATTACTAACGTGTAAAACAGTTAACACATTATTACAATTTGATCCACAAACTTAACGTCATTGGTTGAATTTTTAAGGTTAGACTGATTTATTTACTAGTTTCAACTTTGAGGTTCGCACAGACGTGTAGCAGTTCGAGTTGCCACTCTCCCTCCATGTAGCACACAAAGCACGAGAAGAGAGTAGAGAGAGCGATTCAAGAGAGAGAGATATATATAAGAAGCAGAAATATGCGGGAAAAGCAGTGGTATTGTGATACAACGACAGAGTTTTATTTGATATGACAAATTAATAGAAGTGACTGCATCTGCGCCAGCGATTGACAACGATTTTGATCCATATTACCAATTGTCTCCAGACATTGGTTCTTACCATCGCAAGGAGTCCAACCAGCCAGGAGTCTACACCTCTTTATGTGGGTGGCTTAAACCAACTGTTGTGGATTTCATTGACTGATGAAGCCATGTTTTGATTTGACCACCACTGACTAGTTCTTCTCCAACCTGATCCATCCTGTATCAGCTAACATTGCCCATTGTCGAGGAAGGCGATGGCTAGGAATGCATGCGTAACACATGTCCTAACCATCTCAATCGATGTTACTTCACAGCCTCATCAATTGATTTCGCCTCCCACCTACCTAGCACTCGACGTCTAAACTCAAAATTACTTGCGCTATTTTACCACCTTAGAGGGGAGATAAAATGCAGGCACTTATGATCAAAGACAGCTAGTGGGTCTTTAAGTATTTTCCACTCTCAATGGTCATGTCTGATAGCCATGAAGGAGAACAGTGGGGATTCTGAGTAGTACACAGAGCTGTTGGTCGACGGTCAGATATCACTTGTACGCCTGAGATGGCATCAGTTGTTATATACCAAACGAGCTTTCTGTATTCCTGCTGAGATTTCGTCAGTGATCAACCCGTTGGTGCTGGCTTATGCAACTCCCCAACTCGAATGCCGCCTTTAGGTCAAGTAATATAACGATTGTTAGACGCCGGTAAGTGTGCCTATGTTCAATTCCAGAATCTGTCAAAGGTTGAAAATATGATCAATACACCCTCTGGCTGCCTGGTTCTCTTGTGTTTGTGCAACCCGAGCAACAGTTAGTCTACGCATTATAATTGAGCCTAGAACCGTATTAGTCCAGCCAACCCCCATGTGATTATCATAGGAAGACTTGTCTCCCTTCTTGTATATTACTTTACTTTACTTCGGGTATCTCCTACGGGAGGATGAGCCGGCTTCATGAACATCTCGAATAAGAGAGTTCATGAAGTTTCATGGGAATTTGGTACGAGTGATGTCCCCAAAATCTCTCGGCCTTTTGTTTGAGAGTGCAGCTCTCGCCTTTACACAACCAAGTGTGACCTACAAGGCAGTAGGAGTGGAGTAGGGAGTCCACTATCCATTGGTAGCCGGTGACCGGAGTTTGGTTCATACGCCTTTTTGAATGTGGCCAGACATCCAGGACATCCAACAAGCTCTTTGTCCATACGTCTGCCGGTGAGCTCCAGTGAGCTTCATACGCCAGTCGTTGGAGGTTTGGAATCAGGGTTTAGCCATCTCCCCTAGACTGTCATCCAATGGACAGTCAACCCGGTGAAGAGCGCCGGGCATCCGCTTTCGCCCTCTCACTTTGGTGAAAAACACCTCCGCCACGTGAAGGCAGTGAGTAGGACTTACTCAGGAGAGGCTATGTAAGACGCCCGGTCATATGGGAGCATTTCAAGAGGTGTGCGGAGGGGTGGCCAACCCGCAGCGCAAGGCACCCACCCCCGATCATCCTGAGGCTTTGGAGGCCTTCTTGTATATCGGGATAATCAATGACTTACACCAACCCGACGGGACTTCCTCTGATTCCCAGACGCTTCCTAGTATAGTACCTTAGTTAACGCAGACAATAAATTGTCTCCACTGTACTTAAATACCCCTGGAGTCATTCCATCAGGTCGAGCAGTTTTGCCTCGTTTCAGACCAGTGACAGCTTTTATAACCTCAGTCAATGTGAATAGAATTTGTTAAAATTTAAAACACCATATTCACATCATTCTATCCTGTTTACATATTAAGAATCAATTAACACCAAACAATTACTTACCATAATATCAGCAAATAACTGTGGCGTCATTCTTAAACTTAACCGTTGAACAAGAGAAGCTTGAAAACGTGACAGTAAATTATGAAATTCTTTTTCCATTTTTTCAGCTTTTATCAGTGGGAATACTTCTGGGGCAACATCATCTCGGGAAATTTTTTTGCTTTTAACACTGGCAGGCAAACCTCCTTTCGATTTCCAACGGACCGTCGAATGCAATATGGAATTGTTTACTGTACAAGCAGATGTGAAAATGCTCTTCTGCTTCGCCTTATTCCAAAGAGATAATAGAGGCGAATTGATGAATGAATAACGTGAACTAAGCTGGTAGATTGAAAACAATCGGTTCATTTTATTTATTTAATTACAACCAGAAGGCTTTCTCCATTCAATGCAAAGCGAGAGAACACGAGGTGCTTGAAACAAGTAAACAGCAGTAGTCGAAATCTACGGAATTTTCGGGTAGGTTCGGTGTGGTGTCACACCAACGATATACCCTCTGAGGATCACAAAATGAAGTCTCAAAATATTCTGTGCCCCAACTAATCAACCTGTATAGTAATAATAACAATAATGATAATAATCATTTTATTCCAAAGAATAATAATAATAATTATACAGAATGGAATTCTCAACATTTTTATATACATATTGCAACAATTTGGCTCCTTTTATTGAGTATGTAGATACATAAAATTACAGATACCTGAAGGTTGGTGGAAATATAAATAGATAATATCATAGATAATACCTGGTGCATTGGTAGTACAGAGGTAGAATGCTCGCCAGCTAAGCAGGTGGTTCAGGGTTCGACCCCCGGGCAAACCCACTCCTTCACCTCGCTAAGCCAGTAATAGACTGGCAGAGCGGGAAGGTTTGGTATGAGGCTAGCAACTCCATCCCATAAAAATCAACACCACTGCTACAGAAACTTCAAGCCTCTAGCTTGAAGCCCTATGTTCCACTGGGAACGTAAAGGAATAAAAAATAGATAATACATGTAATCATAATAATAATAATCTTTGCTTATACTTTGCAGTGCAGTTAATGGTTTAAAAGGTTTCTAAGTTCTTTTCTGACATCTGACTCTCTCCCTTTACACCAACACCGTGCTAAATATGGTGGTGTGGTGGAATTTTTATATTTAGTAGCTGTAGGAGAATAAATTCTTGCGAAGTTTCTTGTAGTTTCACCCCCGAAGAGATACAATGAAGAACAGTTGGATGTTCCGACTGACCGACTGACTAGTTTCAACATAGAACTTTGCACCCATGTGCACCAGTTCGAGTCGCTACACTTCACTCAGCACACAAAGCCAGAGAAGAAAGTAAAAATAAAAATGCAAAATTGAGACAGTTAATAGAGACATGAAGCAAAAAGAATAGTAATATTGAAGAAGTTTTATTCGAAATTATAAGTCACAAGGGGTGGATGCATCTGCGTCAGCCACTGACAACGACGATTTTGAGCCATATCACCAGTTGTCCCCAGCCTTCAATGGTGTATACCGTCCCGAGGACCCCAAGCAGTCAGGAAGTCTACACCTTCCTACGTGGCTGGCTTAAACTAACTGTTGTGGATTTCATTGACTAAAGAAGCTATACTTTGGTTTGAATAACACTGATTCTTTTCTAACCTGACCCTATGTCAGTTAACATCACCCGTCGAGGAAGGCAATGACTAGGCTAGGCATGCGTAACACATGTCCTAACCATCTTAGTCGATGTAACTTCACAGCCTCGTCAATTGATTTCTCCTCCTTATCTAACACTCGACTCACCCTATTATACTACAACACCTAACACGGGAGACAGAACGCGGGCACCTATGATCAAAAACAGTTAGACTTTTCATGTCTTCTACTCTCGACGGCCATGTCTTACAGTCATATAGGAGGCGGGAGCGGACTGCTGAGCAGTACACACGCCCTTTGGTCAACAGCCAGCCGGATATCACGTCTACACCGGAGACAGGAGAAAACTGGCATAGGATGTTCGGTCTCAGACAAGGTAACTTTAGCCAACTGCTTGCAAGAATTGAATTGAAGTGCCTATTGGCAATAACGTCAGTTAGTTGAGTTAAAGACGCACACCACTAACCCTAATTGCAGCCTTCAATGTTCTATGTAATATGACACAGTCTTCTTTGAGAAGTTCAGGGAAGAATAATGGCGAACAATAAAGAAGGTGAATGGGCAGAATACATGAATTAATTAACAAATTGTAAGAGAAGAGGTTGAGTGAGTTATACAAGGAAGTCTCAACTTCTTTATGTAGTAAAAAGTCAACGGAAACATTTTCTTAGAAATCAACAAGATATAAGACAACAGAGATTTGAAGAGACACTGATGACAGGAGAAGAGATATTCGATTTACCCCCTAACATCACAGTGCCGCATATATATTACAAAATCATGGGACTGAATTAGCTAGTTCACGACTTAAGTCTTTTTCACACCTGAAACTAAAATCAACAATCTGACATATTTAGATGGGTTCATAGGTGAAACAAGAATCTGTTCATCATATCAGAACAATTCAACACAGAAACCACTGGGACAGAAAATGGTTAAATCGTCGGCATATTTAATGAAGTCAGCTTTGGAAGAATACGGAAGACCATGCTAAAAGAGGAATGGAGAAAGCACAGTGCCTTGAGGCATACCAGTTTCCATTAGCAACGAAGTGGAGGGTGAACACAAAAAAGAAACATGAATGCTTTGTTACATATTTGCAACCAAATCACTCCCTGGCTTACCAATGTAGAACTTCTTAGAGCTTAAGTTAAACTGAATTCCCGAGTAGAAGTTACCTGGTGAGTGGTGACTAGCAGAGGAATCCAGTCAGGATGCGCATTTCGTCCCTTTTGGGACTAGCTCGTCATCTGGCTGCTTCTGCATTCCGCAGTGAGCGATGATGTTCCCACCGAGGCTTGAACCCAGTGTCCATAGTTTCAAATTCACTGCGGAATGCAGGTGCATCCAGCTGACGAGCTAGTCTCAAATAGGACGAAATGCGCATCTGGCTGGATTCCACTGTTAGTCACCAATTAACTTCTAATCATATGCCCAGACATCGTCGAAGCATCTGCACAAGGAGGAGCCGAAATGTCAACCTGAGACCGAGCACTTTGGTCCAATCAATCGACGGGAAAATCTAAAATTTAATTCAATGAATTCCTGACTGATTGACATTTTTCTGGTCAGCGTTTGGTTTTTGCTTCTTGTCTTTCTTCAAATTTTTCAAGTGGACACTCAAAAACCAGGTTGCTTACCACTTGATAACGACTTTCACCTTATCGAATTTTAAATCCTTTCTTCTAGTGTATGGCAATTTTAATTGCTGGCGTAAACGTGATACCCGGCTGGCTGGTTGGCTGGATCGCTCTCAATTAGAGGAAGTATACACTCCACAGTAGATCACTCTATCCTTCAAAAGACTGACTAGCTGTCTTTAATCATCCTTGTCTCTGTTCTACTTACTATGTTAGGCGATATAACAGAGGGTGAGCAATAACCAGGTTAAGCGTTGAGTGTCAGGTAAGAAGGGGAAGTCAACCAACGAGGTTGTGAAGTCGCATTGATTTAGATGGCTAGAAGGCGTGTCACGTCGCACGCCACACACCATCACCCTTCTCGTTGAGCAATGTCAACAGACATAGAAGGATTAGGTTGTTATAGAGTTCTATGTAGTCAAATCAAATTGCGCCATCAAATCCGTGAACTCTTCAAATGTGATTTTTATTTTAGCGATGTAGGAAGGCGTAGACTGTTTGTCTTTGGGTTCCTTGAGACACTAAGATTAATTTAATTTGGATGATAGTTAATCGAACCAAAAGGTCAGTTATCGCTAAGAAAAAAATCAATTATTTTATGTCTTATATCTAGGGAATAAAAAGATACGCGTTATTCGACCGAAGTCTAGAAAAAACCGCAGACCTAGAAATTCCTACTCCTAGAGAAAAGGATCAACACTGAACAGAAGAACTTGAGAGTAGTCTGGTGCAATTCTCCAAACTCGCTAAGACCACTTGTCTGGGATAGATTTTTCACATATACAGTGGCTATAAATAATTCGTGCTTACTTTGAATGAAAACTGATAAATACTAACTTTTGCCTGAGGCTGTGAAGTATGCCGGAGTGGGACTATGGATGTTAGATGGTTGGAGGCAATCAGCTACAACAAAAACCAACTCACCTAGGTTTCATGCTAGCTGGCACTTATCAAACAGAAAAGCGTACTGCAGCTACCTTGTAGGAACTCATGTCCCTTCTGAGATATGAACCCGTGTCACCCAGTGCTGTCTGCAGTCAGGGACTAGTTACTAATTAGTCTCCAATCAAAGTAGCGAGCAAGACTCTTTGAGTGCTTAAGTCACACTGCGCCACACATCCACCTCATTTAAAAAAGATGTAAGATGGAATAAATTAACAGTTGTATGGTCGATTATCAAGATGAATTGTTACACTGCCTGACTGAGTTTCAACACAGAAATTTGCACAGAAGTGCAGAAGTTGCCGCACTGCATATAACACACAAAAAGAGAGACAGAAAGGAGAGATTCAAAAATAACTACAATAAGCAGAAATGTGACCGGGAGGAAGAATTGTAACATGGAAAGACATTACGGTTTAGTGGATATGACAGATCACAGAGACTGGACGCATCTGCGCAATCATTGAGAAAGATTTTGGCTCATATCATCAATAATCTCCATCAAATGGTTCGTAGAATCCGGAGGACCCCAACCATGAATTACACACTTCCTTACGTGGTTGACTTAAACCAACCATCATCTCATAAACACTGACGCCCGCTGATAAGAAATCCACAGAGTAAAATCTACACGTAGTCCAAATGTCATGAATAAGCGCAGAGGACAAAACCCAACAGCTTTAAAAGCATAAAAATGAAGTTCATATAGGAGAAGCCATCAGAATGTGAAAACGAAATGCTACTGCTACAGAAAGATCCTGACGAGATGGGGAAGAGCACTATTCTCAACAGCGTATGTAAGATCGAGAATAAAATGCTGAGAAGAAGACCTGGTTGACCATTGGAAGGACGAATTATGAAAAGGGAAGTCGTGGCTCAATTAAAGGCACGATTAGAAAATGGGGGAACGACTTTAAACTATGCGGTTTTCAAGTGGTGAGGTCTCGAAAGGTGCAATGAACACATTAGGTGTTCCAATGTAGTGCTATACGCGTGTGGTCATAGGAATAGCCTCCATGAATTAAGAGTATTATCTGAGACATTACAACCTGATGTTGTGGCTATCACTGACGCATGGTTGCTACTGCAAGTAGACTGAAATTCACTCACACCTGGATATATCTGCACTGTAGCAGATGCAGTAACGTCGGAAAGTTGTTGGAGTTGCTATGTACATCCGCAATGACATCTGTCTGTCTGTCTGTTTTCGACATAGAACTTTGCACATATGTGCGGCAGTTCAAGTCGCCATAATCCATGTAGCACGCAAAGCAAGAGAAGGAAGTAGAAGAAATGCAAAATATAGACAGTAAACAGAGGTGTGAGACAAAGGAAT